GGTGGACCAACACTTGAGAAATATTGATTTAGTTCATGGAAGTGATAATAGTGAACAACAACCAAAATCAGAGGTGCAAACTATCAACAGAGTGGCTGAAAGAACTCATCCTTTGTCCTGATATCACAAAGGGGAAAATCCATTGAACAATCAAGAACTGATTTCATATTCAGGGTTTTTCCACTTAGGAAATCTTTACCTGATTTCTCTCTATTATTTATTCCCGCTTTAGGTAGCATGATTGTATATCTCAGTTCGTGTGGGACTACCCAGGAACCCACCTGTTGTTCTGGCTTATAATTATTAATAGCACTTCCTTCCACTCTTAAAAGTGTCCAGGTTTGGATGAGATATTTTATGGCTACTCCATTGCTTCAGGGCAATTTGCACAAAAAGGAGTTCTTTGTCATTCAGGCCTCTTGCTGCACTAACAAGCTTTTGCTGAGCCAAACATATTTTTTTTTCTATTTTATGACCATTACTAGCAGAGACTATTTTATTTATTATTATTACTTTTTAGATATTTTTAAAGATTATATTTTAAATGCATTTTAGTTGACATACAATATTACATCAGTTTCAGTTGTACAACATAGTGATTAGACGCTTACATAACTTACAAAGTGATCAACCCATCTGAAACCATGTATAGTTATTAAAATATCATTGACTCTATTTCCTATGCTGCACTTAAACCTCCGTGACTATTTTTATAACTTCCAATTTGTACTTAATCCCTTCACCTTTTTCACCCAGCCCCCAGCCCTCCTGCCATCTGGGACCCATGTTTGTTCTCTGCATCTATGAGTTTGTCTCTGTTTTGTTTGCTTATTTTGTTTTTTAGATTCCCAGTATCAGTGAAATCCTGTGGAATTTGTCTTTCTCCGTCTGACTTATTTCACTTAGCATAATACCCTCTAGGTCCATCCATGTTGCAGAGTCTGATATTTTAAAATCATTACTGCCAAGTCTAAAATTCTTAAAAATCTCGGAAACTCAGGGAGCTTCTGAATAGCAAGCATACGAACTACTAGTAAAATAAAATAAGATAAAGTTGTCTAGAATGTCCCATTATCCTTAAAATTAACTCATTCTAAGAAAGCAGCATGTAAACCCGGAAAGTACAATGGGAAATATATTAGAAATGCTGTGTGCATATATGGGAGACATGATATCTCCCTATTGGGTTCGTACATGGCCTAGAGGTCTAACTGCCAGACATTAATTCTGGAACAACTATCATTTCTGATCAGTTGATAAAGGGATATGGTGACACAGACAAGTAAGCTCTTTGGAAGGTGAAGGAAATGATGTTAGTGCCATTTTAAAAAGATTTTTAAGCACCTGAAATAGAGAGATATGCCAAAGATACCTGTTACAGCAATTTGGGTTTCTACTAAACTACCCATTAACAAAAAACACCAAAACTTTGAATTGCTTTGATTTTCTTCACTGATGCTAATTATAAATATTAAAGAAAAACAGAAAAAATAGATTTCTTGTGTTTTATATGTAATCAAGGAATAGCTGGTATTTAGTAGTGACTTTTTCCTCCCTTAGAATAGGTATATGCAGTTGTTAAATATTCCAGGAGATATTATGGTTTTCCATTTTCATATTTTTAATGTTGGGGGCGTTTAGTTCAGTGATTTCTGCCTAAGGACCGTTGTTTCAAGATAATTTGCCCAAACTGCTTGGTTCTGCTCACACAGCTGTAAGTTCTTTCTTTCTATATTTGGAGATGGAGTGACTGATGGCTAACGTTAACCATCTGGATGAGGGGTGTGTTGGGTGGGAGAGAGGAAAGGGGACATAGCAATGCATAGCTTCACTGCGTGGATGAGGGATCATCTCTACTCTTCTCCATCCTGTATCCTTGCCCTGATCCTGACCTTGGACTCTACATAGTCAAAAGAGGCAATGAGAGTCCATATCAGTTTTATCAGACTTAATGCCCCCTTTTTAGAGTTAATATTATTTAACACCCTCTGCACTTTTCTGAAATTAAGTTCATAGGTGATATAACTAAGCTACACAGAAATCTTTTAAAAAAAACAATATAATGACATAATAATAATAAACAACCAAACTTTATGGAAATAATTCATAATAAAAATAACATATTTCAATATGTACATGTTCAGCCATGACTCACAATGAGACATAATGAAGTCAAGTGCTTGCACCTACATTTAGATTTACCCTGAATGTAACAGCTACAAATGCAGAGTGATACAGGGACTTTCTACCAGTGCCTCAAATACAATGAGTAGCTTTGCCACTGGTGACATGATTTTTAAAAATGGGAGAGACTCTTGGTAATGTTCATAAAAAGAGGATAATCTTCCCTCGTGTTACATAGAGGCTTCACTCCTGGAACACTGAGTGTATCTAACCTTGCAAAAATACTTTGTGCTTATGTATAAAACCAAGTTCTAGACTCAGACAATTATAAACAGGTTTTTTTTTTTTACTAACATGAAAGTCTGGAGGGACCTTCAAAAGTCATGCACGATCCTGGGGCAATTCTTGAAGGTATAGAACCACTGTGAATTTCAGGATGTCTAGCAGCCCTGGTTCCTTCTCACTAAATCGCAGCAGTGTTCTACCCCAATTACGTGACAAGTAAACACACACACACACACACACACACACACACACACACATCCCTAGTCTTAAAATATTCTCTAGGGGATGGCATTAACTCATTAAGAACACTCACCTGTACAACCCACTCAAGCCAGGAATCATTTACATCATGACTGCCATTTTTCCCTTTTAAGTTGCAGATTGGAGGAGTCTCTTGTTAAGTTCAAATTACAATGGAAGAATCGCCTTTTCAAGAATGAGTGGAGTGTCCACAAACAATGGAGCGTGGATAAAATCTGCGTTATCCTTTATGTATGTATTTTACTTAAATTACAAACAACCGTAACTTTTCAGTGATGTATAACAAGAGATATTTAATTTTTCTCATTTAATGGATTGTGACTCAGTAGGGTTTCTGCCAGGGCTCAGTTAGGTTGAAAGTCAGAAATTTGATCACTGGTGCTGTGAAGTTGCTGAAGAAAACTTAACCTTACTTTGAACATCACTAGCAGCTTCTGGTACAGTCCTCAGTGAGAGTCTAATTAGCATCACTGAAAACGCGCTTTAGTTGCAAGGGAGTCTGGGAACTTGAGTTTCTGACATTTTCATCTTATTTAGTGTGAAGTTGCCTCTGCCTCCGAGACTCATAAATGGGTGCATCTGTCAGTTGGGTTAGGTTATGTTGTATAACAAACAAACTCCAAATCTCAATTGTTTAAAACAACAAATATTTATTTTTTTCATATATATATATATATATATATATATATATCAGTCATAGATTAGCAGTTGGTTCTGGGCTTATCATACTCTGTCTCGAACTTGGGCTGCTAGAGCAGCCTCCATCTCAAAAATTGTTTTGCACTGCGCCAGACAGAAAGCTTGGTGAACTGGCTTTTTAAATTACTGGGTGGCCATGGCAAAGCTCACTTCTAATTTCATTTTATTAGCCAAAGCAAACTAATTCTAAGGAGGGTAGAAAGTATAATCCTGTCATGTGTCCAGAAGATTCTGGAAATGCATGGTGTACTATATACACTGATGACAACCATGATGGGAAATTTCTGAGACATGGAAAGGGGGTTCAGATGTTGGGCAAATGTCCATTAGACACCGTCTTATTTATATCTTTTCTATATATTGCTATGCTCAGTCTCGCTTCATAGCTATTAGCAACATAGTGACGAATGTCTGTTGAATTAAAAGGATATGAATATGGTTGTTTAAATTCCCAAATCTTACTATAACTGAAGTTTTTAGAGATACTTTGCTATTTTAACTCCACACTGTAAAGCATGATAAATATAAGTGTTATTTGTATTCAATGTTGCCTTTAGAAGAAAGCTTGAGAGCCAAGTGTGGTACACTGGAGAAAAAAAAAAGGATGCTTCATTTCAACATTGCTTTGAATGTGTTCATTTGTTGGTTTCCCCTACCGTGGGGACACTTTCTCCTGTGCCTGAAACAGTCTGGAACATGGCATTTAATAAGAGTAGTTCTGTATCATTAGCTGCGTAGTTTTGGGAAGTCACACACATGCTTTAGTAAGATCTGCCTTTTGTATTGTGAAGATCTCCTAGACTACGACGAGCAATACAATTGTGCAATTGTGGTTGTATGCGATGTACTCAGCGCAGGGCCTGCCACAAATCACTCAATAGAGATTTCTTGACTTTATATCAGTAACCATTTGCTCTATTTTTAATGTGGGGTGGGGTGGATCGCTAAAAAAGCGTGTAGCGCATTTACAAAAGCTCGTCCAGGGTGCTGGGGTTGAGTAGTTGTGGGAACCTGGTTCCCATCAAATCAGCAATAATAATATTAAACAGGCTTCGTCCTGATCCTCTCAAAGGTCAAGCACTTCGCAACTGCCAGCGGGCTACCCCAGCTCGCGTTCCTTCTTCCGCTAACCACGGCCCCTCCCGCTAGCCGTCAGCCAACCGCCGCAAAGCCCCGCCTCCCGGGGCGGCCCTCCAATCGGCTGCGCGGTCCGGGCCCAACCCTCGAGAGTCACGTGACGCGCCCAGGCCCGCTTCCGGCGCGTCGCTGTCGGCTGACGTCGCCGAGGACCGGCGTCGCGTCAGGGTTGGCCGGCGGTGGCAGCGGCGGCGATGGCTGCGGACACCGAGCGGGCTTGAGGGCTCGGACCTGCACCCTCCCCGCGCGACCTCGGGCCCGACCCGGCGCTGCGGCCTCAGCTCGCTCCGCTCCTGCTCCCTCCCCGGCGCTGCCTGGGCGGAGGCGGTGGCGGAGGCCCGGGCTGGCCGCCCTGCTCGTGCCCCGGCTCGGCTCCGGACGGCCCGACTGCTGTGCGGAGAGGAGGCCGAGTCGGTAAGAGACGGCGGCGGCGGCGGTGGCGGCGGGGCTTGGAGGCCGCCTGGCCCCCGCCTGGCCGCCCGGGACGCCCCCGCGCTGGTGTCTCTCTCCGGCCCGCTCCCCTCCCGCGTCCGTCCCCACAACTCGCCGCCCCTATTGTCTGGGCGCCGCCGCTCCCTCACCCCCTCCCTTCCTTCCCCCCTGCTGCGGGCCGGACGACTGTCAAACCTGGAGGCGTCTCCCGCGCCCCGCCAGCCCTGCCGGAGCCCTTCCTGTCTGTCCCCTGCCGGTCTCCCGCCCCACATCACTCCCCACCTTTTTTGGCTCCGTGGCCATTCTCTGACCTTTGCTTCACTCTCCTAGTGTTGCATCTTCTTGGTGATTTTCTCTTCCCATCCAGTTGTCATCTCCCCCATCCTTATTCCTTTTTGCCATTTTTTCCGCCTTTTTTTTTTTTTTGCTGTTTTCCTCCTCTCCGTTCTGTCTCCGTTTCTCTCTTTGCTCCAAGTTTCCCCCTCCAATAGACCGTTTTACTTGGCCTTAATTCACATCCTTCATGTTCACCCAAGAAAAAGAAAATCTGGCCTTTTCTGGTTACTCACACCGAAGTATCACTGGGGAATTGTATGGCTTAACTCTATCGCTTTTTATGGTTTTTGAGTTCGCACCTAGAAAACGTTAGTGAACTTCTCCTTACTAAAGTCCCTGCGAAGAACAGCAGAGGTTGGTTAGATTTCTACACAAACCTTTAAGTAACTGCCATATATGTTGCACACTGACCAGACCTCTATTAAAAAATTACGTTTTTGTGTCTTTCACACCAAATAACCCTTTGGCTGAGCTTCCTGTTAACTTGAATGCACTAATTTTTTGCGGGTTCCGTGGCAGGAGGATAGCCTCCCCCAGCAACCATGAGTATTTAAGTTTGATTTTACATATTTTCATGGCAAGTATTGGTGTTATTCCCCCTCCCCCCACACCTTAACCTATCAGATTTTTTCAAAGAGGAAAGGACAGTGGTTTTTATGTTTGCTATTAGGTTTTGTCCCTTTTGAATTGTGGCCAAACCATTAAAAAAAATTACACGTTTGTGTGCTTTTCCTTTTTAAAATGGGAGGTAGCATTGTCATAATAGTAATTGTAAATACCAGAAAGGTTTTAGGGATCCCACTTGTCCCCTAATAGAATAGGTTTTTCATTCCTGATTTCCTGTTGCATTTTGATCAGGCTGTCTCAAAATGGCATTCATATTCCTCAAGTACTAGGTCGGTAGTGAAAAAGAGGCCGCCTCAAGTGTGCCGGGTGGCCGCTGTGTCCAAAATGTACACGTTTTGAGAGATGTCATCTGTGTATTACTTTTTGAAGTTGAATTACCGTAGCAATGTGTAGTATGACGTTCGCTCAGAAGATGGTGTTAATCAAATGAGTGCTAGCGTCATTCATTGTATTACAATTTTAATACAGCTTTTTTCTTTCTTAAAATGTGTGTACATTTTTTTTGGCACCCTCTGTCGTCTACATGTCTAGAGAGGAATAGATCCTCCTTTGTAGTTTGTTGTTTGAACGCTACAACCACGTTTATTGTCAGTGTTGAAATTGACAGGGGTACTGCCTACGTTGAAATACTGTAGGGATAAATTCCCAAAGTGAAAGCCATATCGTTGCTTACTGAATGTGATGTATAAGAAAGAAATCTCCTTTGGAACTTTATATGTTAAAATTATTCAGTCATTTGCTCCCAAGGTAGGAGGTCGTAGGTCATGAAAAATCCTAATCACAAGAGACATTCTTAAAATCTTCACTGGCAGAGAATGTGTCTGCTGCTGCTTCCACCTTGTGTGCGCGTCAGCGTCTTACCAAGGGTTTTGTATTACAAGGCACTCAATAAATAGTTGTTGAAAATTGTGGTTCATTCTCTTAAGAACTTCAACAGTCATATTCTAGAACACTCAGCTATCTTGATTTTTCAAAGACAGAAAAACATTGTCAGTAGTTTTGTGGAGAGTTTTCTTGGGTATTTTTTTAAGTTAAAACTTAAAGCATTGTAGTTATTAGCTAGTGTAAATGCCCATCTAGTCATTCTTCTTCAGTAGTTATCTTTTTAATATTATTTTTCTTAATTCACTATCAAGATTGCCTGTAAGTTGCATAGTACTTTACCTGGAGCTATTGGTGATTAGCATTCAAATTGCTTCAAAATTTGGCAGTTATTTTGACTTCTCGTAATGTTTTTGAAACTCTGTTTTATTCCTTATGCATTTTATGCACCAGAATCTAACATGTTTTTTTTCCTCTTGAGGTAGTGAAAGAATACTGAAGAATAGCATCTCAAGATGAGTAAAAAGCCCCCAAATCGTCCTGGAATCACTTTTGAGATTGGTGCTCGTTTGGAGGCACTGGACTACTTACAAAAATGGTATGGAAAACGTGGAGCTCTTGACTTAAAGCACAATATCTGTAGTCTTACATATGTTGCTTCATTGCTGTACTCCTGACAGTGGCAGAAACATTAACATTCACATTTCGAATACACATATACATTGTTATTTAGTTTTCCTACTCTTCAACAGACTTTGCAGGCTTAGCATTTAAACACTACTTCTAGTCAGTCACTTTAGTCGCTATCATTTTAGGTGTTTGAGAACTGCAAATAATTATCTAGACTATGAGAGATAAAGAGATATCAGTACAATATAACTTACCCTTGTGTACTTAACATGAGTTATATTGGTGGTGAAAGGGAGGGGATTAAGCTGGATAACCAGCTTGCCAAGTTTCGGGTAAAACTTGATATTCATCTTTTTTCTTGACCTGTGTCAGAGGTGGTCTTTCAAGCTACGGAATATGTTGGTGGTTGGCGTAGTCATTACTCACTAGCCTACCTAAAACCCAAAACCACTCTACCGCCTCCTTCCCCAGTGGGCAGTGACCTAAAGGCCGCTGTTACTATCTCCTGTACTGAGTGAGCAGTCCTTTCAGACCTCTTTATTTTTAAAAAATTTTTATTTATTTTTTAAAGGATTTTATTGGGGAACAGTGTGTTTTTCCAGGACTCATCAGCTCCAACTCAGGTAGTTGTCTTCAATCTAGTTGTGGAGGGCACAGCTCCGTGGCCCATGCAGGGATCAAACCGGCAACCTTGGTGTTGTGAGCCTGTGCTCTAACCACTGAGCTAACCGGCCGCCCCACAGACCTTCTCTTATTTCTTCTCCTGTTCTGGCCATCTGTGATCGATAAATGGTGACTTCAGACACCCCAGCATGCCCGTTATACAATGATATAGGAAAAGTCTGTTACCTGGGATAAAACCACGACCTGGAAAGGAGAGAAGGGGACAACTCACAAGGGTCACCAGACCACAGTAGGAATAGCGAGATCCCTTCTCTATGCTAGGGAATGCCTTCCTCATTCCGGTTAGCTGGCCTCTAGTTCTGCTTTCTGGGACCATGTCACTTGTCGCTATTCTCAGCCCCCTACTCTGAGATGGGCATCAGAGGTTCCTCTCCTGGGAGCGATGCTGCCTCAGCTCCTCTTGAAGCCTGTTGATTCTGAGGAGGTTTCTAGAGGTTTCGCCACTCCAGGACTTTCTCTGCCAGACTTTCTGACGATTTCTCCAGCTCCCTTCAGAACACAGTGGGTGTTCTGTAGGTTTGTGTTTGATTGATGTGTGTGAAGCCTACTTCCTGAGTTGGCAATGGCAGGCAGAGAAATCCCGTTTAGTCGTGCTCTTTGACTTCAGACCAGTCTCGGGTTTTGTCCCTCAGCATCTGATGTTACAGCTTTCCACGTGCCCTTGTCCCCAGCTGAATAAGCTCTGCTCTGGGCTTTGCTTTGGGACACTTTAAAACTACAGTTTGGGGTGGGAAGGCACAGTTATTGCTTCCAAGCTGCATCTCAGTGGATACTTCTTGGTAGGGGGCTTAATTATTGGGTTGTCGGAAAAGTCATGACACATTTTTGCAATGAAAAACAGAAAAAATACGTCATGACTTTTCCAACAACCCAATATTACCCTCATCGTGTGGAGAGTACACAGTAGTTCTCAGGAAGGGTTTGGGAAGAACGTGGGAACCAGGCAAGAGCACCCTCCTCCTCATGATGATAAAAATCACCTCCAGACATTGCCAAATGTTCACTGGGGGCAGCCAGCACACTCCTGCTTGAGAAACACTGCATTAGGCCGCACAGCAAAAGTTGTCCATTTAATCTGCAGTTGGCTAGCTTTGGTTCTGATTTGACCAAAAGAAGCTTATATAGGTACACTGTTGAGTCTCTGTGATGTAAGAGTATGAGAAATGATACTTCTTTGATAGTAATCTTAATTTTAAGGGTTTGTTGTTTTTTTTAATTACTGGCTATTTGAATTAGTTAATTCATATTAATATATTTTCTTAGGCTTCGAAACTGACAGAGTTGCAGTTGAACTAGCTTCCAGTTTGGGAGAAGCACACAGTTTATTAGCTCTCTCAGTGGCTTTGAGGGATATTAACGTAATTAACTTTGGTACTAGTAAGACATTCACTTTTAGTGGTGAAATGTTTTCTAATCTCTATAGCTGTTAAGTCGATGACGCAGTAGTTAAGAGAAAAATATATAAAAGAACTACTTTTGAAATCAAGCTTAAGTGTGCTTTTAGAGTATTTGGAATTTAAGAGAACAAAGGAAAATTGTAGCTTAAATTTTTCAGTTTTATGTGTCTCACCAAGAAATTCCTAATGTTTAGCTAGGGTGATAACAGGCAGTTGTACTCATGAAGCTTATATTTAATTGTAATGACCCCAGAAATAATGGTCTCTTTAAAGTAAGTAAACATTAGTCAAAATAATTACGTGATGGTTAATGAAACTTGCCATCAGTTGGCTTTTTATGAGCTCATTTGTCTGAACATCTTAATATTCTGCTACGGTTGGCACCTTAGTTAAAAAAGAATTACAAGTATTGTATATACATATTCTAGGTAATTGAAAGAAATAATTTTTCTTATTGTGACTTTGTTTATTAATATCAGTAGTCTCAAGTGCTAGTTAGGCTTGAGTGACCTTATAATTTAGTATTATAGTGCTTTACTGTAGGACAGTTATTTGTGAAGAATTTTATATGCAGCACAAAGGAATTGCTATGAGACATATTGCTCTTAACAGATTTTATTTCTAAATGAGATCAGTTTAATTCATATTATTCCATTTCTTAAGGGCCATTCTGTATTTCGTATAAATTCTACAAAGTTTTGCTTTAGTATCAGATAAAAGTGTAGAAGGATTATTTGAGTGTTGAGAAACTTTGATATTCTTGTGAGAACAAAATAGTTAAGCCCTGAAAATATACTGAAATAATTCCCCTCCCTCTTCCATCCTCCATTCTTGTTTTCATATTCTCCTCTGTTGCTTCCATATTTAATGCTTAGTCTTCATGTTCATTCATTCAATTGGAAAGGTATTGAGTCTCTATTTGATATAAATGTCTTTTGAATTATTATAGACATTGGGCAGGGAGGCACGAGCAGAAATGCAAATATTACTGTCTCTGTACTCAAGGCATTTATGATCCGTTATCACGTGTTAATACGTTACCTGTTAAAGGGAAAGTTGTGATAGTGGAATACCCAAATTGCCAATTTGTCTTGGTGTAAAAGGCTTTTCCTATGTGAAGAAGGAAAATAATTTTTAGTATATGCCCTGAAAATAAAAAGATAAACTAAATTTAGTGGACAGAAATAAACCAAATGATTTAATAAGACTCAATTTATTTTATTTTTTTAAGGAAAAAGTACATTATTATTGCCTGAGCAAGGCATCTCCCATATTCTTTGAAGTTCAAATTTAGACTCGCTTTCTGATCCTGTAAATATGGGTAAACCCTTGAAGTTGGTTGGCTTATCAGTAAAATGGAAATAGTGCTATTGGCATTTACATAAAGGATTATTTTAAGCATCAAATAAAATAATGTATTTAAGCTTGCTTCAGATTCTATAAAATAATACATAATTATAAAACACTGAGGTAAATGCAAGGGGAGAGGAGAGTTGAAAAATAAATCTTTGTGGGGATATGAAGACTTAAGTGTATGTGTTTTTAAATGTACCTTTACTGTTGACATGAGAATGGCCTGGAATGTAAAAGGAAAATGATGTCATTGCAGTAAGCTATAAACCATATTTTTGAGGTGATAGTAAAATCTTTGTTTCCACAGAGTTTTATAGTTTACAAAGCACCCTTGCAAATATTAAAGTATCTAATCATTCTGATTATTGTTCAGTAAGAAAAGTGATGAAATCAAACTGTTTTTGACTATTGATTTAACTTCTGTCTTTCAATTGAAATTAAAACAGTCTATAGTAAGTGATTTAATTATGAAAATGATTCAAGTAATATGCATACTCACAAAAATGTTACTCATAAAACTCAGAGTTAATTTAAAACATTCAGATGAATTATGCCCTTCTTACATTTTTTTGGGAATATTTCTATTTAATTCTCTTTTAGATTAAAGAAAAGGAAAATGAAAGATAAAAAAAATGTGGAGATGTCTCCAAGTATCAAAGTTTGATAGAACAGTATAAATTTGAATTGGCAAATGCTGTTTCCACACACTTGGAGTTTTTTTGAACTGTATGGAACATTTGCAAATGTGAGTTTTTTAAAATGCATGTGAACCGAATTTTAATAGAGTGGGAAAACTGAGGAAATTTAGATTGTAACAAGCACAAATACCTTCTAATTTAAATAAGAGTACATATTTTCTGAGTAAAAAATGTTGCTTTTCTATAATTGGATTTAGCTGTTCAAAGGAAAGCATAGGTAGAGATCTAGATTTGGGAAAGAATGCTCCTGAAAGGTCAAATTTAAAGACTGACTTATTTAGATGATATTACGTGAGTTTGATATTTGTAGAAATCTTAGGAGAGAGTACTTTTAAAATAGAGATTTTTTTACTGCTATGAATAAAATTTTTTTTTTTTTAAATTCTGAGACGCTTTACATTCAGAAAGTCACAAATTTTGAATCTTAAGGTTTGTTTAAGTGAACTCTCAGTTTAATCATCAAGCAGGTCTCAACCACTGCACAAGCATTCTGGTTCTTTAATTTTTAGTTACTAGAAAAGAAAGCCCCATATACTCTTAAAAGTAAAGTTCTTCTCTCTCCTCCCTACAAAAAATGCTGAAAGGAAGATTAGACATAAAAGTTAATTGAAATGGAAGTCAGAAGGTGTGGGTTCTCAGTGCTGTTCTGCCAGGAACTCTGTGACTTGGAAGAGTTACTTTTCTGATTTAATGTCCTTAAAGGGGTGTGACTTCCTAGATGGTCTTTCTGGCCCCTTGAATTGAAACTTGTTTTTTTTTTTTTTTTTAATCTATTTTCAACCTATTCAGGGATGACAGATTTTTTCATCTCACACAGGGACGTAACACAGACTTGA